GATGGAAAACTACGGGGACTACAATGATGAAAGAAAAAAATTAATGAAAGAAGACAAAAAAGTAGCAATAATACTTCCAGGTATAGTGACTTTAAGCACTGAAAGAGCAATTATAATTAGGTTATGTTATAAGTAGTGACACATGCCACAATATTGTAAATAAATACAGAATCAAAGGAGAAGAAAATAGGGTTTTAAGAGATTATGGGGAGCTCAGAATGTTTTTCAAGGATGGTCTCAAGCTAAAATCTTAAGAGGGAGAATGCATTAACCAAAACAAGAGATTTGGGGGTGAATGGTAGAGGTGATAAAATGTGTCACAGTCACAAGAAACAATTTGAGAAAGACCTAGGAGCACAAGATCCTTCATGAGCCCAGGGCAGGCTGCTTCAGAGCAAGTGCTTGGGTGTGTAATGACAGAGGAGGCTAGCATAATGTGTAAGAATCAGGTTAAAAACTAATAAACAGATTATTTGAACTTTATCCTAACTGAAAAAAGTCACTTAAGTATTGTTAAGGCTAACATTCAAAGTGACAGTCAGATTGTAAGGATTCCAGAGACTGTCATATAGATGATGTCTTAGGGAATACGTATCTTTTTTTTCAATTTTTTTTTTTTGAGGCATGTTTATTTATTTATTTATTTGTTTTGTTTTGTTTTTGTTTTTTTGTTTATACATGCACTGGGTACAGTCAGAAGCGCGGGAGGGGGTGAGAGAATTCACCAGAGCCAGAGTGGGGAGCAGAGCAGGCAGAAGGACCGAAGTACACTGCTGAGGGGAGCAGCGGGAGGCAGGAGAGGTCTGCGCACCATGTGGGACCCGCCTCCGGTGGCCGGGGGAGCAGCCGGGGATCGAACCGGCGCCGCAGAGGTCGCCGGCAGCTTCGCAACCCAGCGCTCAACCGCTGCGCCACCGGGGAGGCCCAGGGGAATACGTATCTTGAGTGATGCTTGTCATTTAAAATTTTTTTGAAACAAAACTCACTAAAGTTAAGAAACATAATCCTTTCTTTACCACTTCATCTTCAGTATCCATTTTAAGAAATCTTGACTCTAGACGACTGCAAAGCCTTTCACATTCTATCCATTGATTTTTTTCTCTTGAGAAAAAGTAGCAGTTTTCTCCACGTTGATGCCAGTCAAAGGGACAAGTAGGATATATCCAAGCTATTAAAAAGGATAGAATATAACTGAATGCTTTTTGTCAGTGCAAGTCATCCAGTAAGTTTACTGAACTAATCACCCTTTACAAACAAACATCTTTGTGTCACATTGCATGTGTGAACACTTTAATTTAGTGTTAGATTTATCTTACAATAATGATGTCTTATTGAAGACATTTTGGTCTCCATGATTCAAGATATTATGCAGAGGAATGCATAATGAGATTTTTAAATCATAAAAGTAAAAATATCTTAGGGAGTACAGCAAATTGTTTTATATAAATATATTCCTGAAAATTAAAAAAATATATATTATAGGCTGCAAATGGAGTCCTTCATGCAGGATCCCAAACAAGACTTTAAAATCTAACCTAATTATAGTTTCCTCCTCTCTCCACAGTGAATTCTGACCCCTTCAATATGGAGTCTCCTGCTCAGGACTAGGGAGGTCATCTGCATGATTAGACTCCAACTTCCCCTCATGGAAGGTGGCTTTGCCTGAAATAATCTTTCTTTCATTTTGTCAACAACATTGTCCCCCAAGTACTTGTCTTCAAAAACCTGCATTTTGTATAAACTCTTACAGATTCTTGCATTTGCTCAATAACATGCTACCAATTCATGAACCATACAATAAAACAAATTGCATATTATCACTGCCATTTTTTACAATACATTCGACTTTATGATAAACTCTGTCCTATAGATGTCACTCACATCTGTTTACATTTGTACAGTTGTAATATCAAGCAAAATAGCTGATACAAAGTGAATTTTCTCCTCTCTCCTGACAATAAAATGAACATTCAGGGTTTTCTAAAATTACCTGTTTCATTTCCAGTAAATCTTCCAACCTTGAATGAGTTCTGGTTCACTGAAGAGAATTTAAAACAGCGTGTTTAAACTCAAAGAGAAAAATAATTGGACAATCTTTGTATTAGACACTGATCTAAATAGGAAATACAAAAATGATTAATGAAACATCACTTGCATTGAAGAATTTAATGCAATGGAGACATGAATATAAAATCAAACTATAATTATGAATATTCATATAGGACCTGAAGTCAGAGAATCAGAATAGAAGGAAATTTTGTTTTTTATAATAGTGATTTTTTTCAGAGTCAACAAAAAAATTAAATGGAAAAAAGATGTTCATTAGCTGATCAGATAAATTGGAATCTTCTATAACCAGTTACCTGTAATCTCTCTCCAGTGTTGATGTTTGCATGCTACAGTTTAGATTATTCCTGGCAAAAGCACCAAATCTGCTTTGCTTTGTGTAGGTTAAGTAAAGTATCAGGCTTATCCACCCTCCTGCCATTAGATTAAATGCATGCCTGATGGCAGACACCTAAAGTAGGGTGTGGGCAAGCATAGGTGTGTACACCTGGGCTGAGGCTGGCTTATAAGAGCAGAACCAGATAGAGAACCAAAAGAGAGAGAAGCAGAGGCCACGAGAGAACTCCAGAGAGCCCAGAAAGAGTGAAGACTTGCCTCCTGATCCCAGGCACCCCTGCCTTCTATGTACCTGGTTAATGTGCAATAAAAGCCTGAAAAAGCCACCAAGGTCTCCAGGACTCTCTCCTTCACCCATCTGCTTGGATAATAGAGATCCTGCTCTATGCCATCCTGCCGCTACACTTTGTTTATAAAAGCTTTCATTAAACTTGAAATAAAATAATTTCGGAGAAAAAGTTGAATAAAATCAGGTCCAAACAAAACAAAAAGGAAAAAAAAATGGAAAGGAAGGAAATATTTCTGATAAAACAAATGTGAGAATGAATAGGAAGTAAGTATGGGTCATGAAATACTTCAAAATGAACAATTAGATGTGTCCATGAGAAATCATCTTCAGTCTCTGCAGAGAATATATGGTCAAGAGTGGATCAATAATGTATTACCTTCAACAGATTTCACTAGGTAAGTAGAAAAATAGTGTGTTTCCGTTTTACATAATGACTTACACCTTGCAGTTAAGAGTCCAACAGACAAAAGAAGCACCATGCAACAGATCCCCAGTATCACGGCAATGAATTTCCATGAGGGATGAGCAGGAAAATCTACAGAAAGAGATAAATACAAGTGTGACATCAGTCTCTACATGTTTCTTAAAGTAAATTTGAAATGATAGGCACATAACCAAACTTCATATGTTGATATATTCCACTAAAATGATGGCATGTAATGTGTGCAAACACAGAATCAGCACTTGAGAAGACAAAACTTTGAACTTATGCTGGCAAACAGATAAATCCAGAAAATAAGAAAATTAATTCTCAAGTCTTGGTAAGTATAAAAATGAACATATCTGAACATATTCTCAGTATTTTCTTCTCAAATATATTGTCATATATATTGATGTTTTAAAATTACAGAAAAGGGTAAATAAAATAATTCAAGCAATACATTTTTCACTAATTCAAAAAACATAGATTCAATGTTTGCAATACAGTAAAAATTACTAAACTTCATTTAATTTGCCCTAAAAGGTGTTTGGCTTTTATGCTTTATAAAACACAAATCTTCAAAATGTGTGTGTGTGTGTATTTGTGTGAGTATAATGATAGATAATCCTGTATACTTTAATGTAATTTAAGAAAAGGAAATGTAGAAAGCCCACATACCTTCACACCTAAAATCTGATAGAAATTTTTTTTCAGGTTTTTGAAGTCCTTGCCTTCTCTGTGGCTGAGATGGATGTTGAAGTCGCACATCAGAATAAACTACTTCACTCATTACTGAAGGGTAGAAAATTCATCAAATGAACTGAAAAAGTACATTTTAGATGACAGTCTATTGTTAAATTAATAAGTAAAATTCATGTTGAATAAAATAGTGTTGGGAATGAATTAAAAAAATGTAGTAATACCAAACACGAAAAAAATTAGGAAAGGAAAATATATGAAATTTTTTAGGATTAGGTCATAAGTTTCTGTAACATACCATTTCAGGAATTTTTACTGTTGCCTATTCACAATTATTAATCTTACATAAAATTATAAATCACTTATTTTATGTGATAAACATGTCACTCACCGACAAGTAAAAATTTACAGGTGATCTGTTTCTGTGCTGACATGCAGGGAATCAGTTTGTCTGCACAGCCTGCATCCAAGTCCCTCCTCACCTTCCCTGCTCCTGCCCCTGTCAGTCTCCCCTTTACTTCTACTATCCTCCATTTTCCCATAATTCCACTGGGATACCTCTTCTTTTTCAATATAACATAAATATTTCTCCAACCAAATATTTTATTTCAATTCTTCATTCTGAAGTATGCTTTCTTTTATTTTTATGCCTATTATAATTTTAGCTAACTCAATTTATAAAGCAATTTATACCAACTTTACTAAAACTCAGATTCTTCAATAAAATTTTTTCATTCAGTTTTTCTCATTTTTCTTTATTTATCTTCATTCTATCAAATATCTTATTTTTTAAAGTCTCCCCATTATATTATGAAGCCCTTGATATGTTTTACTAATTTTTTGTGTCATAATTGCTTATTTGATTTCTTCATGCAGTATAAAAAGTTAAATTTACTTGAAAATTAATATTTTATACTAAATAAAGTACAATTCAGATGAAATTTGGAAACAATTTTCTTCATTATAACATTTTAGAAAATTTGAAAGAAATCAATGGGAGATGCTATTTTCTACAAGAAGATAATAGAACAAAGTCCCTATAATCAAGACACATATGTGGGAAGATTATGATTTCATCATGCTGACTTCATTTGCTTTTTTTCAACTCATAATTCATATAAATTAACAACTCCCAAGTGTCATAAAATGTCATAATAAATAATAACATTGCAAATGTGTAAAATCATTAAAATATATTTAAAATAGCCTCTTTAAGCCCATTCAAACACACCCGATTTTCCTCCTAGCATCTCCATTTTAACCAGCCTTTCCTCGTGTCTTTTTCTCTGTCTTTTCCCTACTCTGGAAGCCATACTTTTCTTCCAAATGACACACAGAGTATACAATTTTTACATATAGGTTGCTTAAAGAGCCAATATATGTATTATTTGCAAGAAAAAACATATAATTCCATATTGAATAAACACTTTGCCTTTGAATATATACCTTTAATTTCCTTCCATCTTATTTCCCTTAAATTCTAAATAAACACATATTGACAAATAGAATAAACATCTGGGAAATGATAATTACCTGAAATTTAGAAGACAATGTCTGATATTTTGAAGAGTGCAGATATATGTCCCGGGAAGAAGCAGATGCAAACTCTTATTAAAGAAGTTGAAATTTAAAATTTTTGAGATTCCATGGTAGACATCTGGAGTCCAGTAAAGAAGAAAATAAATATATGCACAGGCTAATGATACCTTTGTCCCTCCCATGAGAGACACTGACAGGTGAGTACAAAGGTCAAGAACAAGAGAGCTCTGGATGCAACCACACAGGAAACTCTTCTACTGCTGCTCAATTTAGCTTTGCATCATCTCTAGATTGGGCCTTTCTTCAATTTTACCTTAAATGACACAGATATGCAATTATTTGCATAATGGCCAATCCCTTTCACTCAGTCCTTAGTGTCACATATATAACTGAATGTCATCGATATTCAACAAGATAACCTTCAGATACTTTTATTAATTTCAAAATACTTTAGGTACCCTCTATGTATCTTGAATGTACTTTACATTCTAAATTCAATTATGATTCTAGACATATTATTTGAGACACTTTTGTGATGTCTCTTGTTGACCCTTTCAGTTCCAGGGTAGGTGCTGTATTTCATCACTAGATTGTGGATATAGGTTCCTTTCAGTCCCACTCAGCGTTTCTTTATTGTGGCCTGCCCAACACTTTCCATGGAGCATACCTATCAGTAATGTCACAGAAAGAAATCAACAGACAAATGAAAACTTACCAATGAGTTATTTACATTCATATCAAATATAGTTTTTCAAAATTATTTTATTTTTAGAAAAAAAATATTCTTTGGAGAATTTTACCATTACTTTAGCTAGAGTTAGAGTTTATATTCATTTTGGTGAATATTTTAACATTTTATAAGATTTTTAGCTAATTAATATGAGCCATTTCCTCCTAATCTACAAGAAAATAGTCATAGTTCAAACTATTACTATTACATAAACAGAAAGATACTCACATAACTAAATAAAATGTGGAAAAAAAAGGTAAATAACCCTTTTAAAACTGCATAATGATCACCAAATAAATTAAAATAATAAAGTATTAAATCAAACAAAGTGGTAGATTTTACAAATTAAATTTTAAAAAATAAGTGTGATAAAATATATTTGAAGAGAAGAAATTTTTTGGCCTCAAATATTTTAAAAATCAGTGTCTCCCCAGTGGCACCAGCATTAAAGTTTCAGCACTATCAAGCTATCACCAGCCACTGCAGCATGAGTTAGATCCCAAGCCAGGGAGATAGTCCACATGGCGGAGCAGAACTCTCCCGTCTTGACTGCTGCAACCTTCAGCAGTGTATTTCAGTAGATCCACCTGTTCTGCACCCCACTCTGTCTCTGTTGAATCCTCCCAACCCTTGTACCCTTGGCCTTTACCCCAGTTCTTGTATGCATAAATTAAAAAACATAAATCTTTAAAAAATTAAAATATATATTAAAAATCAAAATCACTAATATTTTAAGAGTAAAGAAATAGAAAACTCCTCTGAACTACATGCTATGCTGTAACCAATGATATTTAAATTAAAAAAAAAAAGAAAACTCTACTAAAATGCAACTATTTATCATCAGTGAATCAGAGCTTATTTAAACGCAGAATTTTTTATCCTGAAAATATCACCTACATCAAGGAATCAAATGAAACAGGTAATTTTGGTAATCTCTGAGTCATCATTTCATTGGCAGTAGAGAGTAAAGAATTAGCTGTGACTCAGCTATTTTGCTGATGCAAAAAATTCTGTACAGCAAGCAGACATGACTGAAACCAGCTTGTTAAACTGAATATTTCTCATAGTCACCTGAATTATTAAAAAAAAATTAACAAGTATAATTATATAGTTGGTCTTATTATATGATTTAGGAGTTGAACAGTGTCCTGTCTAGCAAGTTTAAGGGATCTGAAAAGATTTTTACAAAACAGATGGTCTTCAAAGATGATAGAGAGTGGGACAAGGTTGTTGGCAAAAAGAGAGAAAGATTATTTCAGGCACAGCCAACTTCCATTCAGTGAACTTAAAGGTTCCTCATCATGCAGATGACCTCAAAGCAAGTGGTGTTTTATTAACCATTTTCATATTTGCCAATAAGTACAGTGTCTGGCAAATAGGATTTTCCAATTGTTTTTTTCTTTGAGTTTAAATATGGCCTCTGAATTCTCTTCAGTGAATCAGCACACATTTAATGCAGAAGGACCACCAGGAAATATCGCGTACAAGGAAGCAAACAAAACAGGTAATTCTGGAAGTTTCTGCCTCATCATTTTATCTTAAGAAGAGATAATTAACATTGTATTAGCAATTTTCCTTGATAACTACAACTGTGTCCATCAAGTGGACCTGAGATTTTTATAGCTAAAAGACCGTGGGACAAATTTTTGCAAAAAAATAAAATTTTAGGCAAAGCCCCCTTCCCTCAGGATAGAACAGAGGGTCATATGCAAATGAACTTACTAGTGCTGAACAGGATACTCCAGATGATGGGTTTAGAGTTCACTTGGGGAGAGGAGGAGTTTAGTGGTTTTAAGTTTTGATGGGATCGTACATGAAGGACTTCAGTTGTGGCTATTATTTGTTTCTTTTTAAGCAACAACATAATTATATTAATAGCAATATATTATGTTTCCTTAGACATTTTTTAAAGATTTGTTTTATTTATTTATACATATAAGAAGTGGTGTGCAAGTCAGAGGTGCAGGGGTGAGAGGATTCACCAGAAACAAGAGTGGGGAGCAGAACAGCAGGACTTACTGAAATACACCATTGAGGGGAACACCAGGTGAGACAGGAGAGGTCTGCTGCACCATGTGGATCAGTTCCCTAGCAGGGGATTGAACTCATGCTTCTGTGGCTGGCAATAGCTTGATAGCACTGAGACTTTAACCCTTGCACCACCAGGGATGCCCCTTCTTATATATTTTTATTTTCTCATTGAAAGATTCTCTCCCTTATGCATTTATGCATCTTGAAGTACATAATACTTTCAATGATATTAGTTATTAATGTAAGATCAAAGTAATACTAACATAAAGTACCTGCAAATATAAAATAAATGATGACTGTAGAAGACAGATTTGCTTAGTAAACTTCCTTGCACTGACAGAATTGAATGATAGGCTTTCAATTATATTCTTTTTTAATAGTTTGGAAATATCCTATTTGCTTGCACAACTGGCATTAGCATGGAGGGAACTGCTGTTATTTCTCAAGAAAAAAGTTCTTTGTAACAAATTTGAAGATTTCTGCACTGGTTTAGGGTCAAGATGTGTTTCTTAAATATTTTGAGTGTTTCAGAAAATTTAAAAATGACAGAAGTCATTCAAGATTTTTATTCCTCAAAAACATGTTCTATATGGCAGTTATAGAATAGGAATATTCTATGGAATCTTTACCATTTGACTGTAATTTTGAATGTTAATTTAATAGTACTTGAGTCGCTTTCCTCAGCTCTTAGTATAAAGCACAAATGATCTGTTTATTAACTTTTAACCTGACTCTCACCTGTTATACGCATGTTCTTGCCATCATGGACCCCCAGCAGCCTGTCCTAGAGCAACCTACTCTGGGCTCACAATCATGAACTTCTTTACATTCATGAAGGCACCTGTGCGCCTTCATGTCTTTGTTTCTCAAATTGTTGTTTCATCTGCATGAGACTATTTTTTTTTTAATCATGTACTTTTTATTTTATTTTAGTATATTCTGTCTTTTTTTTTAATAATAAATTTTATTTTATATTCCCCATACAATTGCAGGCCCCCCATTCTGACCCCAATCCCTCCCCTCCCGCCCCTCACCCCCCAAAAAGTGTCTCTGGTTCATAGTTTTTTGTTGATTTTGATTTTCACTTTCTTATAGTTATTCATTTTCCTGGTCCCTTATTTAAGTTTTCTAGATTCCTGCTATGAGTGAGACCATCCGGTATTTTTCTTTTTCTTTCTGGCTTATTTCACTGAGCATGATCCCTTCCAGTGCCATCCATGTTGCTGCAAATTGCATGTGTTTATCTTTTTTGAATGCATGAGACATTTTTATCTCCTCTATGTCTCATCTGCAAATCTCTTTTCTTGGTTAATGCATCCTAAGTCTAATAAGACTTTACCTTATTAGAAAATCCCTTCAAGGGCCTCCCCTGGTGGCGCAGAGGTTGAGCGCGCTGGGCTGCGAGGCTGCCCGCAGCCTCTGCAGCGCGGGTTCCTTCCCAGGCCGCCAGAGAGGGTCCCACCAAAAAAAAAAAAAAAAAAAAAAAAAAGAAAAGAAAATCCCTTCAAAAACATTCAGGTCTTATCACAACCTGATAATACACCAGTTACTTCTCCTTTTATTCTGTATTTATGATCTTGTGACATGTGTCACTACCTAATTATGTGTTCTATTTTTTTCAGTTTCTAATCTAAGTGACTCCAACTGTAAGGTTTTTTGCTCATTTTTACAACCCATAACCAAAGAAATGACTAAAACAATTTAGACCAAACAAACAAACAAACAAACAAAAAAATACATCCTTCATGAATAAAGAAGTCATTAGCAGTAAGTGTTCTATCCTGTGTTTAGAAAACCTGCTTATCCTTCCAGATCTTTGAATACAATAGAACAGAAAGCCTGAAGGGAAGTTTATGAATGAAATAATGATGTTAAAACAATTATGTTCCTCTTTCTGAGAAGTTGTACTTTCTGATTTATTTTCTTTCTCTGTAGATTTTTGTAGTGAAATTGTCAAAGACGCAATGTGACACGCAGCAATAAAAGTTTCCGATAAGTTTGTACTACAACAGGGAAGACTAAAATAGGTTTGGCTCAATGCACAGGTCCTAACCTGAGCAAGTAAGTTGTTTGCAATTTTAAAATTCTAGACCAAAAATTCTCTTTTTTTTTTTGAACTGTAGATATTTACTGTGCATATGAACAGAATTTAGATTTTGTAACAGCAATATACATTATAAATCAATCTGGAAAACAGGATGATGGAAAGAAGGCTAATCATTTTACTTTCTTTTTTTGTATTCAATCTCTGATTATTCACACCAAGAGACTGAAGTTTCTGTGATCTATAATCATCCACTTATACATAAAGAAATTGATTTGTAGAGAAGCAATAATTAGATAGTCTTACCATATAAACCTGAGATTTATGCTATAGAATAGCTTACTTTTGTATTTTTACTGTTTCCAAATCTGATGCTTCTGTGATTGTTGATTATAATTACTTATAATGCAAAAGAGACCCTTGGAAATTCTTTTGTGGCTAGAGGAAGTACAAAATACAAAACTTCTGGGCCTCCCGGGGTTGAGCGCCGCACTGTGAAGCTATCCACAGCCTCTGCAGCGCCGGTTCCATCCCGGCCAGCCATCGAGAATCCCACATGGCACAGCAGAGCTCTCCTGTCTCGCCCGCTGCTACCCTCAGCAGTTTATTTGGTCAGTCTGCCTGCTCTGTTCCCTGCTCTGTCTCTGGTGAATCCTCTCACCCTCCTGCGCATCTGGCCTGTACCCAGTTCTTGTATAAATAAATAAATGTTTAAAAACAAAACAAACAAAAAAATACAAAACTTCTGACTGAATTAGTTAACAAATCTTTAATCTCATCAGGCAATTGCTTTACTGAAGTCTTGTAAATAAGAAGCATGGGGTCTCATAATTCTGTTAATAAAATCACACACAATAAAATCCAGGATAATAATAAATCACATATACAACAAATTCTTAAATCATTTTTCATTTTTTGCACAGTGTGCAAAAATTTTACTTTCTTAAGTTATTTAGATTGTTCATCAGTTTTATGATTGAGGTATTGTTAGGGGGCAAAGGATGTCCCAAAGCTATTTCCATATAGGCTTTGTGGACTCCACCCCCACCCCAGGTCAAAGCCAAAGACACTGGGAACTCCAAATCCCATCACCACCAAAGGGAAGGTGGCTGGGACCTGAGGGTGGGGTTAAGCAGCCAGGTGGATAGAAAAGGCAGACACGTGGGCTTTGGGGGACCCCATTTTGGGCTCTCCACCAGCTCGCAGTGTCCGGCCAGCTCTGAGAGTGCCTTTGGGTTTCCAGGTCGGTGGATCGGGTAGGACGCATTAAAGACTTTATTTCCCTATTTTCTCCCTGAGTTGTACATTTTCCTTATTTCCTTTCCTCTTGTAAATAAACCTTTTATTAACCTTTTTGTGTGTAATAGAGTATTCATAAGTCCCTTTAAAGTGCGCGGGTGAGGACCCACAGCCAGGAACCCGTTTAATATCGGGGTTGCTCTATAACAGTATGACCATTCTGTAATTAATCAAAAGGTAATTGAATATAAATTTTCACAATATTTCAAGAGTACTTACTGGAGTTGTCACTTTAATTTTAATGTTGTTTGTTTGATTCTAAGACCTATGCTCACAAAGCAATTTTCTTTAAATATCTCACTCCCTCTCTAGGGCTCATGCACAGTCTTTGTTGCCACAAATTGAATTTGTATTTGTTATAAGGCAAGCACTGGGTATTTTACAGCAACAGAATTCTATTCTCTTAGAGGTAAGAAGGCAAAAGTTTGAAGTCAGTTCTTTGGTATATTTAGTCCCTTTGGAGCTTCCTTTCTCTCAAAAGACCCAGCTGAAATTTTCTAGAGACAAAATTAATTGTTAATGATGATAAACAGCAATTTGCTATACTGATTAATCTGGTAATTATACTGATTTTGATTATACTGTAATAATTATTTCTCAAAATACTTATCTGTAAAGGAAATACAGTAAACCTCAGTGAAAATGGAAGATATTATATGCACTGAGCCACAGAGATACTGGCTGGTGGTAGTGACATTACCCAAACATACATTTCCAACTTCATGCTGCTGCTTCTCTGCTTCTTGCTGTGACAATTTCTCTTTATCAGGATGCTATACAAGAATTTTGACTCCCATCCAACAAGATTTCATTTTAGGCTTTACCCTAATATACAAAGAAGCTATTTCCAGGTCACTTCACATTCTGAGGCTCTGGGTGACATGCATTTTAGAGAACATTATTCAATTCACTGCATACTTTCTCATAAAGATTACTGACAATTTAATTCATATTTTTAAATTTTAATATGGTGTGAAAATCTGAGACATTTGGTAGACACGATACTCTGAATTTTAAATTTCTCCTGGTTAATCACATGCAGTGTGACTCTCCTGATGTGTGCAGCTCCTACTCAGCCTGGCAATGCTGAGTCAGCAAACCATTCTCTGTAGACTATTTCTCATTTCAGTACAATAAATTGTGTGAGATAGTCAACAGTGTAAAAGAAGCTTTGTTTTTCATGGTTTTGCCCAAATGTAGGCTAATGTAAAGCGCTCTGAGCATGTTTAAGGGAGGTGAGGCTAAGCAACCACATTCAGTAGGCTAGGGGTATTAAATATGTTTTGATTTAAGATATTTTTAATATGATGAATTTGCCATAATATGACCTCATCATAAATCATAAAGAATCTTTATTGTGAACACATATGATACCTAGTGACAACTGCATAGCAAAAAATAATCGAAGAGCAGAAATTTTGTTTGCTACTCTGATGAGTTAAATTTTTCAAGATGATGTCTCTCCGATCTACAATTCTAATTTAAACATTCATTTGAGCACATGTAACCTTGCACCCATAATTAGATTGCCAAATATATTACAATGTTTGTAGCAGGCTATATAAAATAAAGAAACCATTCCATTCTATCATTTACAAACCAAGTTTCAGATTCATTCTATTTATCTTTTTTTTTTAAAGATTTATTTATTCATGCATAGAAGAACCAGGGTATAGGCCAGATGCACAGGAGGGTGAGAGGATTCACCAGAGACAGAGTGGGGAACAGAACAGGCAGATTGACTGAAATACACTGCTGAGGGGAGCAGTGGGTAAGGCAGGAGAGGTCTGCTGCACCATGTAGGTAGTTCCCCGGTGGGGGATCGAACCAGTGCTTCAGTGGCTTCGGATAGCCTCATAGTACTGATGATTAACCCATTGCTCCACCAGGGAGGCCTCATTAATATTTCTTGAATTTCCTCTTCTTTACTCTCTCTCTCAGAAAAAATAATTAAGGAAAAAAGTATCATCTGTGATCGCCCCTCACCTCAAAGTTATATCAAACAGAGATACCTGAACCCTTTAACCTTTCTTTTGTGCATCTTTCTCACTTTTTTTCTTTGGCAACAAGTCCTTTTTCCCTTACCCATTTCATTGCTGTAGCCTCAGGGATCCACTTCACTGTAAAGCTAGTAACAGGCAGGGCCACAGTCCTGGATCTTAAGTGATAACAGAGCAGCACTTAGTGCGGTGGCCAAGAGGGCAGCCCAGTAAGGAGGCTGAGCTCATCTCCTCCAGGTACTCACAGCAAGGTAGTCACAGAACAAAGTGAATCACTTTGTAAGGGAAACTCAGATTAAAGCACATGCTAGGAGTAAATTCCAGAGGAGGGGGACCTCACCTACCTTAGAAAATGCCAAACTTGCAGCCCAGCCAGGTGGGTAAGGCAAGACCCAGAGGCCCTGGGCATCCTGCAGTCTGCCTTGTGGAACTGGCAATCCCCTTGCAGGGTTAAGCTTAACCCACCTCAGCAAGGTCTGCATGGGTCAGGAAGCAGGTGGTCCACAGTAGGCTCTGCAGATCTCAGCACAGAGCTTGTCAGGCTCTAGTTCGGGTCCCAGAAGCAGTCTCTCAGATCCTGAGCCATAGAGCAAGAGGTAGTATCTTCTAGGATCAGAATAGAATAGAAAGGGCCCTGGAGGAATAGGAAGGCTCCAGAGATAAGGGCAACAAATTCCAAAGGAACTAATCAAACATTCCAGCACTAGGGGCAACAGGATATTCCCCAACAAGGACAATAAAGAAAAAGGATGCTAAGATTAAATGGCTGGGACAGAGACTTAATTCTGGGCACAGAGACCCTAAGGCAGAGTGAGTGAGACCACCCAGCACTAACCAATCACAAAGAAACTGATGGGGCTTTAGACTCATTAGGTAAAGAAGGTGCATATTCCCTGAGGCACAACTCACAGCAGCTTCCTTGCCCTTCCCTGGCCTGGTCTAGGATCTGGAAGTCTCCTTTGTTTCTGTTCCTTTTCTCCTTAATACTATTTTTCCTTAAATCAATTTCTGTAAACAAGTTGCTGCTTTT